CCCGCCCGCCCCTTTTCTCTCCCTCCTGTGACACATTCCTGGATGTCTTTGGTGAGGCCTGCAACCCTCCTCCTCCTGCCCAAACCCCTCTCCAAAGGCCCCTGAATAAACTACCCGCAAGGAGACCAAGAACGGCAGAAACAATGGCCGCAGAGAACCATTCAGCCAGGGTCCTGGTCATGCTGCCCTGCTCGTCGCTCCCAGCACTCCTGTGGCCCCGCTCACCTCTGACTCTGGGCACTCAAGCTACCAGCCTGCACAAGCCCAGACGGAAGGAAACTACTGGGCACTGTGTTGGCAACAGGCCAGTCCAGTGCCGTCCTCAACCAGCCGCAGCAGGGCAACACCTTTGTAACCTGGGTCTTAACTGGCTTGCCGTCTTTGTGCCTTTCTGTCTGTAGCATGGGGTGTCTGTCTAAAAATGCTCTCCAACACTGTTGGTTGGCGAGTGTACATTGTACAACATTTCCTGAAGTGTGGCAATAGAGACATGTAAAAAGCACATATATGTTGTTACAAACATTGTGCTACTAGGCATTTACTTTGTGGTTATATTTATAAAGATTCCCAAAAGTATGTGCAAGAATGTTCGTTGGAGGATTTCTTTTTCACTGGGAATGGACCTGCGCCCTAGTCATACAGTGGAATACTACACAACTGTAAAAAGTCACGTGGTGGTTCTGTGTACCTGATGATAGGGGAGACGCCAAATATATTGAGAGATGCTTAGAATAAATTGCAAAGCAGGCAGTAGTGTATGATCTTATTTGTGTATTTGAAAGGCGTTGTTGTTAAGTACTGTTGAGTTGGTTCTGACCCACAGCCAACCCTGGACAGGGTTTCCAAGCAGCAGCTGAGTGCTTACCCTTCAGTGTCACACCAGGACTGTTTAGAAGGCATAATATGCTTACATAAGGAGAGTTCCTGGAAATAAGACTTGAAAACCACCTTTGGGGAGTAGGAATGAAGAGAGACACTCTTCTGTTTTGTTTTTAACTGTGCTTATAAAATACCTTCTATTTTAAATTTTAAAGAGGCCATTTAACAGGTTTAACTTTTTACTGATCAACTTGGGCAGGAGCCCCAAGAGGAGAAGGAGGATATTACAGGGAAAAGCATCTGAGAAACTTTGATGCTCTCTAATTGTGGCCATTTGAGGACACAATAATGGTATATCATCATCTTAGCTGCTACTGCTTATTCAAAGCCGACTAGTCCTGATGTGGTGCTAGAGGATAAGCACTGGACTGTTAACCTCAGCCACTCTTCGGAAACCCCATACAGGTCTCTGAGTCGAAACTGACTCAGCAACACTTTGCCAGTGCCAAGCTGCATATCTCTAGATCTTGCTTAGGTGGGTGTCATTTCAATTCCACCCATATAGAAGAAAGGTTGATTGCCCGTGTCTCCCTGCGAGGTCTCCTCAAATAGCCCCTCCCTTGGGCTTGCAGGGTGGTGGTGTTGGGGAGGAAGGTACCACTATTTCACCATGGTCAGTCCAATAGACCAGTAGAGGTGTCTTCATGCTGTGGGCCCACTGCCTTTGGGCCTGGTTGGGGGAGTAGACCAGACAGAATGGCCCTATTTGCATAAGCAGCCTGTGTCTAGAGAAAGGCAATACCTCACTGGGGGCCTTGTCAAGTGCCAACTCTCGAGCCCCTACCTGCCTCACCCTAGGAAAGAGTGTGGCCTGGAAAGTGTCTCTGAGGAGTAGACTGGGGGTCTGCAGTGTGAGAGGACTGGGCTCTGGCAATCCCGGATGCAAGCTTGGGCCAGGCTGCGGCCACCAGAAGAGCTCTCTCTCTTAAGCTGCCTCTGCTCTCACGGGTCCCAGTAAGACTACATTCACCCACAAACTAGCAGTGGGTCTAGTAGAGAAATGAGGAAAAATGCATTAAGAGTGGCTGTGTGCCAAGGACTAATGGAGCCCAAGTTGTGTGCTTGAGCTTAGAAACTCCTTCCTAACTTTTTGGGCAGTAGGCACTACTGGTACATCCATTTTGTAGTTGAGGACACAGAGATTTAGAAAATAGAAAAGTTATTATGATACATATCCCAAGTCACTTAGACAAAAGTCTGTACTCCTAACTCCACTTAAAGGAGATCCCCCCTAGACTGAAAGCCCTCTCTCAACAGTACCCCCACACAGAGAAGTTAACTCTTCCTGCAAGGTCTTCTCAAATAGTCCCTTGCCTGGGGCCCTCTCCCAATTTCACCTAATGTCCTCTGTCTCCTGGTGTTCCTACCAGTGGACTAGCCACTGAGGTGGCTGGGAGGTGGGAAAAGTGATGTTAGGGACTTTGTCTTGCTGGTGCTGCATTTCCTTGGGGATTGTCCCCAGGAAATGCAGTTCTGAGTCCTAGCTGGGATTCTTGGAGGTGGTAACCTGGATGCAGCCCAGCTGATGGACACTGGAGGAGAGGCTGCATCTTGGAGAAGGCTTTGGGTCTCCACCTGGTAAGAGGCAAGCATAGGTGGGGTCTGGATGGTAATATTGGGTGCCACCTTCCTCCCCACCTACTGGCCATTTCCACTGCTACAGACCAGGCCTCTTTTGGGTGGTCCCTGACATGAAAGAAGGCCTGGCAGAAAGAGGGAAGTCTCCTGGATCTGCCCCAATATTTCCCAGGGACTGGCTTGAGAAGGTTGGGACAGGCGGAGGCAGAAATGGGAGCAGAGAGATAACACTCAGGTAGCTTACACTCTCCAAAGGCTGGATCAGACAAAGTCCTGAGGTAGGACTAGGGCGGGTTCTGGGAGAGGGACCTCTTCCTGTCCTGTGAACGCCTTGTCTTTTTCACTCCAGCCTTCAACTTAGAAAGTTACTATAAATAAAGTTTCTTGGCAGTTTTCTGTCCTTGGACATGGGTAAAGCATATGAATGAGGTTCAGCCATTAGCAAAAATACAGCATGCTATGGCTGAGAAGGATGGAGCTCCCAACGCCTTGAAGGCCTGTCTCCTTGAGCTGGGGTAAGGGGACAAAGGGCACTGGCCAGCTCAAAGTCTACCTTTAATCTTGAAGGCAGTGATCATACCCAGAAGGTTTTGAATTGACAAGCAAATCCCCAAGCTCCTCCCAAATCTCCATTAATGTCTTCTCATTTAATTTTCACAATGACCCCATAAAACTTCATCCCATTTTACAGACTAGGAAGCTGAGGCTCAGAGACACTCAGAAAAGTCTAATGCTACACGAAACAGTGGAGTTGGGCTCCAGATCTCAATTTCAGTGCTGTGACCCGAAATCTGGTCACCCTGATATCCCAGGGGTCTGAACTTGGAAGTCCTGAACAGGATTCAAGGGGTTGGTTGTAAGTGTCCTGAAGGCCACTAGCGATTTCCCCCATCCTACCATGTCTATAAGGAGCTCTGGTAGTGTAGTGGTTACGAATCGGGCTGCGAACCTTAAGGTCAGCGGTTCGAAACTACCAGCCGTTCCGCGGGAGAAAGATGAGGCTTTCTACTCCCGTAAAGATTTACACCCTCGGAAACCCTGTACAGGGTCGCTATGGGTCGGAACCGACTCGATGGCACTTAACAACAACAACCATGCCTATGCATTTATCTGTTCTCACGTGGTCCCTTTAGCCTCAGATAGAAATCAACTCTTGTGTCAGGCCCTAGTCTAGGTGTTTTTCATGCCCTAAATCATTTAATCCTCAGAAGCACCTATAGGTAGCCAGACAGTATCTTTATTCCTATTGAACCAACGGAGAAAGTCAGAGTATACCACCCAAGGTGACGTAGGTGGGGGCGGTGGCTTCCAGGCCTGCTCAATCCAGATTATCCGGCGTTTAACCACTGCACGCACTGCCTCCCTAAGGGACTTGCGCCCCCACTGGCCCCGCCCGGTACCAGAGAATCGGCTCTGCTCTCAAGGCCCCGAGACCGGGTTTGACCACGGATGGTGGGGTCGGGTGGGTGCCACTGGCCGGCAGGTGGCGCTGCCCGCGGTGCAAGGTTCCCCCCGCCAGCCGCGAGTCTCAGGGCAGCAGGCTAGGGTCTCAGGGCCCCGGGAGGAGCCAGGACCCCGGGCGGGAGGTAGATGAGTGGGGGGCACGCGGCACAAAGAGCTTTTTATTCAAATTTGTTTAGAGTTTCGAGGATTTGCATGAAAAATGTGTGAGAAAAGCCAGCTCCAGTGACCTCATCCGCACCTGCCATTAACGTTCAATTAGCGGTTGAATAGCGGCCGCCTGACGCGACGTGCAGAGAATCCGGCCAGCCCTGCGCAGCGACGGCGGCGGGTCGGCCCGGGCTGGGGTGAGGGTGGGGGTGAGGGTGGGCTGGGGGAGGGGCGCAGGGCTCTGGCCTACACCTGGGGCTGGACATCCAGCGACCTCGTCCGCACCTCTACCCTCCGAGGGGACACAGGGACCCCAGGACCCTCGAGCCCAAGGCAGTTTGAGGCTCCCGGGCGTCCAGGGGACACGTGGAGATGCCCGCCTCACTCCGGGTGCCGAGGGCCCGCGCGCCTCTTCCCGGGGCCAGAAGGTGGACATGCGAGCCCGTCCCAGCTCAGACGGGCTCCCTCGCCACCTTCCGGACAAAGTGTCAAGTACAAGTTCAAGTTCAGGGCCAGGCCCAGGGAGCGGGGGCGCCGCGCCTTCCCCGCCGCCTTTGTTCTCGGCGATAATCGCTCCCACGTCCCCTCCCCGGCGGGGGCTGGGCAAACGCCCCCGCCCCGCCCAGTCCCGCCGAGCCCCGCCGAGCCTCCTCCTCCCGCCCGCGCGGCGCCTGTCCCTTGGTCCCTGCGCCCCCACACGGGGCCACCAAAGGGCCTGGGGGCTTGGGTTGGGGGGAGGCGCGCTCTGAGTCCATGGGAGCCTCCCCGGCCCCACAGTCCCAGCGGCAAGCGCGCTTGGTCGGACGGTCGTCGGCGCTCAGGTAAGAGCCCTTGGCGGGGGTTTGTCCCGCACCCATCTGCCCACCCCTACCGTCTCACCCCCAACCCGCCTGGATCTAGGAGACCTGTAGGGACTGGGCTCAGGGCGTTGTGCACAAGGACTGGGAGGCTGGGCCACCACGCGGAGCCTCCGGGGGGCGCGCTGCCATTCCAGGGCTGTGAGGGTACCAGATTGGGGAGGGGAGGACGCACAGTGCGTGGGCAAGGGTGCCGGCCTTTCCCAAGGGCGGCTGGCCCTTCTTGTCGGCTGGCCTCTAGTCTCCACTTCTGCACAGAGTCTTCTGGCTCTTCCTGGCCTCCCCTCAGACTCGGACTAGGGGAGTCTCCAGTTAGAACCTAGCTCCCCAGGCCTTAAGGCCCCTGCTGAAGCCCTGGAGCTCTGTGTGTGTGACTCAGCTTTTAAGGGAGTCCGCTGTGGTCATTTTCCTACAGCCCCTAAATTAAGGTCCTGGTCAAATGGTGGTGACTGGAATGGGGTGGGGGTGTGATTTCGTGGCAGTTCAGGGGTCTTAAACCAAAACCAAATCTACTGTCATCTGGTTGATTTCCACTCACAGTAACCCCATGTGGGGTTTTGGAGACTGTAAATCTTTAAAGGAACAGACAGCCTCATCTTAGCTGGTGGGTTTGAACCGCTGCCCTAGTGGTTAATAGTCCAGTGCTTATCCTACAGCGCCAAGAGGTCCCAATTTCTTCCTGCAGGACCCTTTGCCTTGGCGGTTCCTGCATTCTTACTAGGGAGAGATGTTAACTTGTATCTTATCCAACCAGGACAGCCAAGCTGAGTGGCCCAAACCAAGTACCCCATTTCTGTCTTTCACTCTCAGGTGCTTTCTCTGAGGTTGTTGATATACTGTTGATTTACACACAGTTCCAACATCCTGATATTTAGTTTCTAAATTAACAGTAAATTAGAAGTAGCAAATGACCGCCCCCCCTCAGCAGAAAGGGGAAGAAGGGGTTTTCCCTTGCTCCCTCTGTGCCTTCTGCTTTCTCTTCTGTGTAGTCCCCTAATTTTCTCATTTCTGGTCTTTGACTGACTCTTGCTGAAGTATCTGCCTCCAAGAATATGCTTCTTCCCAGCTCCAGTGACTTTACCCAATGGCACTTCCTCCAGAAAGCCTGCCCAGATTTCCCTCACACCTTCCCCTCTCTTCATACCTCAGCAGAGGCTCTGACCCAAGAGTAAACACACTTCCTGCTTCCATCTTGAATTAGTGTTGTATTGTAGTTTTCACACCAGACTGTAATCTTCCCGGGTCCAGGTCCAATGTTGGATGAAGTCATCTTTGTATCTGCCACATTGCCAAGTGTGTAGTAAATGCTCAATAAATGAAATAGTTTCTGGATGAATGAATTAACACACATACACACAATTTTTTTTTTTAAAGCATCAAGGATTCCGTTTTCTTTTTTCCTCTTTTTTAAAAAACATGATTCAAACATGAGATAATTGCCCTAAGGGCTCCCCTCTTTTCCATCACTTACAAAATCTCATTCAGGAGCAAGAACCAGCAGGAAAAGGCTAGTTTCAAGCATTCTGTTAAAAAGAAAGGAGAATTCTATGTGACTTGCCTTAATTTTTTTTTTAAAGAAGAGAAAGTGCTAGAAGGGAGTCCCTTGCCCCTGCTGACTCTGTTTCTGAGGGCCTGGAAGGACTGATGTTACACCTACCAACCATATCACATCTCAGACCCTCTTGCAAAGTCTCAGCGGGACCATCAGGAACTTGACTAAAAATGGAGACTCTGACCTACCTAGTGCATGTCTTTAGGTTCCTGATGATTCATCACTGACACGCTGATGTCAGAGAAGCCTGGGAAGACGTTTACATCCTTTTAAAAAGGGAAACAGGAAAGGTCCCCCACCTCCGCCACCCCCACCCTTGAAAACCATCTGTAAAAGCTACTTTAGACCCTTTCTCTTTCTCAGAGAAACTTCTAGTGTGAGCTCTAATCTGATTCTCCTACTTGCTTAGTTGTTGTGACATCTTGAACAAATCATTCTTTTTCTTCCCAATATCCAAAGATCCTTCTTTCTGGATGGGAAGAACAAGGAAATTTAACCAATGTAGTTTGTAAAGGGCAGTGTAAATACTGCTCTGTAGCAGAGTGAGCGAGGAGCCATTTATTACTTATAGGTATTAACTGATTTCTTCCTCCCAGCAAGTCAGCAAACTGAGTTGTAGAGGGGTTAAATGACTTGCCTTCACTCTCACACCTGGAAAGCAGTTAAGGTGGGCTTGAATTTAGGTAGGCTTGAATTTAGGTAGGCTGATTTAGACTCCATTTTCTTGACTATACTTCCAACACTCTGGCTTTGTGCCTAAACTAGTTTCTGAAAATGCCACACCCCCAATCACATTCTCCACGGATTCCCTTTAGATATCACCTAAAGGAATTAGGGAGCGGGGATAAACATCCCAGCCTCGGAATCTTATGTTCAAGCTCTGGTGCTCTCCTTACAAACCGTATCTGCCAAATCTGTAAAATGGGCTCGTAAACCATCTCAATGATGGAAGGATGAAATAAGATGCTGTAATTGACCCAGTACCTGAGACATTGTGAATGGATCCAGAAATGACAACCTTTAATAGCATCTTTATGGTTTTGTGTTACTTTTTCCAAAAACAACCCTTCTCACCTAGTCCTGGGGGGGGGGGGGTTGTCCCCAACCAAACAAGCCACTAGATCTCCATGTGCTTTAACCAAGCTGCTGATGGAGGGGATGTCCGGAGTGTGGAGGGTTAGTGGTTTCATTTTGCAAGCAGACAAAGTCCCAGAGGTCACACAAATCCCAATGGCTATGAATGTGATGAATTAAAAAAATAGATCCTTAAGATCTCGTCCCTCCTGGGTGTTAACTACTTAGGGCTTTGCTGGGGGAAGGGGAAGGGGATAGATGTTAGGCGAAAGACCCTATACACAATTGGGAGAATTAAGGCTGAGAAAAAAAGACTACTAAATAGAGAAATCTGAGCGGTGTTATTTTCTTTCTTAGCCATAAAACTGACCATCACCTCTTGATAAGGAACATAAATTAAGACTAGACCCTTCTTCACAAGCAGAGCTGGTCAGTGGGACATTTCTTCCTTCTTTCATTCAATTAATATTTATTTATTGAGTGCCTAATCTGTGCCAGGCATTATTTGGGGGATACATGTTGTTGTTGAATGCTGTTGAGTCCGTTCCAACTCAATTCCAAGAAGTGGCTGGTGGGTTTGAACCACTAACTTTCCAGTTAGCAGTCCAAAGCTTATCCTACAGCATCACACCAGGAGCAAAACAGATAAAACTTCTGCCCTCAGAGAACTGACATTCATTCCTCTCTCTCCGTGTCTCTTGTATCTGTGTGTGTGTATGGAGAGAGAGAATCTGTCAAAACTCTTGTGTGGTATAGACTTGCGTGCCTCTGAGTAGGATCCCTCATGGCTCTCTCTCTCTCTTCACTCTCTCACTCCTTGAAGCCAAGAACTCATGTTCTCACACAGCTGGCAGGGTTCCTACTGTGGGGAGAGTTAAGGAGAGAGAGGGAAGAGACAGACATCTTCTGTCTTCTCCATCCCATTCCTGACAGGGACCCTAGAACCCAAGGAAGACTGGGTTCAGTGTGAGGACAGAAATGGTGACAGTGAATGGAGGGAGTCAAGAGGACTGGCGAGGACCAAGGATCTGAGCATCCAGGGATTTCAGCAAATCATACTAAGGCTAACCCATGCCAGACATTCTTTTTCTTTTACTTCTTATTGTGGTTTCGGTGGAAGTTTCAGGAATACTTCTAAGTGCTTTAACTCAGTCAATCCTCACCACAACCCTATGAGATGGGGACTGTTATTAATCCTGTTCTAGAGATAAGGAAATTGAGTCGCAGAGACTGAGGAAATTGCCCAAGGTCATGTGTCTAATTAAGTGTCAGATCTAGGTCAGATTTCGGCTCAAGCAACCCTGAGACCAGAGTTTGTGTGTCTAAGTCTCTACCACAGGAGTGACTGAGAGACCACATTTCAGAAAGTAATTTCCACTTACCTCAGAATAAAGCCCATTCCCCAAGTCTCTTCAGCCAGGGTTTCCTGTCCCCAGCTTTCTTTTGCACCTCTCAGAGTTCCAGATTCCAGTATTAGGAGCCTTCCTTTACAACCAGATGAAGATTTTGGGGACCCTGATCATTACTGAAGTCCATGCCTGGATTCTGAGTTCTGGCCTTCCCAAGCCCATACATGGTCTCACTGGGGTTACATTTTGAAGTCTTGGGATGAAGAACTGTTTCCTTCTCTGGTGACTCCTCAGGGTCCCAACTGCCTCCACTCCTGAGACCATAGCACCAGCCCTCTCATCAAAGGTGTTCTGATCATCTCTAAAGGCCTGGGGTCGGGGGACTTGAGGCAATGACAATGCCTGATTAAGAGACACCTTGTGCATGTGTGGTTCTCACTACACTGACCTTGCCCCGCCAGAGCCCTGGGCACTCTAAGCATCCTCCTGGGGAAAGTGGTTTCCTGCCAGATTTTTCAGAGAACAGGGAATCACCTTTGTGTCTTGAGCAGAAGTGGGGTGTTAGTGAGAATGACATTCAATGAAATGTCTTCACCTCTGGGTACCAAGCCAGGTCCTATGGAAGCAGAAGAGGATAAAGACCTCTGGGAAGCAGGGATGCATAACTGACTCCTTCCATGTTTCCCCACGAGGCCCCTAAAAGATGCCCCCATCTTCCTTAGCATTGGGAGTATGTTGTCAAGGATCACCTTGGACTTGGAATCAGAACACCAGCAGAATCATGGCTCGGTTTCCCCCAACTGGGGGGACCATCCCTAAATCTCATCCCTTCTTTGAGCTTTCAGTTGTTTGTCTAGGGAAACTGACAATGTCTCTCTGGCATGCCTGGCAGGCAGAGAATTAAAGCAGCCACAGTGTGTGATGGTGTTTTGCAAAGGATGAAGTGGGCAGGATGATCTCAGCATGACAATACCAGTCTGGTCTCTTTTTGACACCTCTATCCTTCAAGTCGTCCTGAAGTGGCTCTGTGGGTTAGTGCACCAGACTGCAAAGCTGTTTGAACTTCAAGGTTGGCAGTTCAAGCTCACCAGTTGCTCCTTGGAAACGCTATACAAGGTTGCTGTGGGCTGGAACCCACTTGAAGGCACTTCACAATAACAAAAAAAATCCTTCAAGTACAAATTTTGAGATCAAGGGGGAAAGGGTAGGAGTGGGTTTCCTCTGACTTCCCCCATCTACCCAGACTTGAGGACTGCTTCTGCCCTTACCCCAAGGAGGGGCTTTAGGCAGTGAAGAGGATGTCAAGTTAATAAGGTATCCCTGTG